TCAGTTTTAGCAATTTCATCACTCATTTTAAGTCTGAGAAATAGCACAAGTGTATTCAATTAGAGTAAAATTGGAATTTTATTTTTATTTTGAGAAAGGAATATATTATTGAGTGTTACTACTTATAAAAGTACGTATCAAACACACTTTTAAGAGTTTTGATCCCAAAGAACTCACAGGCAAGCTGTTTTTAGGATTATAACTTGTTAACTGGAAAGTCATGACAGTTTGTATACTAGAACTTTCAATACACACAGGCAGCATGAGATTTCTTTTCAAAATTGCCTTTCAGAGACAAGTTACTGTCTTACAGTAAGGAAATGTTTCTTCCTTTTTATCTTACCTTTGTTCTCCCGATTCAGATTAATAGAAGTCAGTAACACTGGAGGAGGAAGACGACAAGTTGTCTTCCTGATAAATCCAGCATCAGAAAATACATTTTTGGTTTATCCCCTACATTCCCTGATCAATGTGGTAAAAAGACTTTTATTTAATGAGTTTTAGAATTCAGTCTCTCTGGAACTATTTTTAGTGCTTACTGTCACTCTGTGCATCTTCCCAGCAACTGTCTCTGATTTATTACTCTGAAATTGCAGTATTATTTATTATCTTCCAATGTGTAGTGAAGTGGCATCTCGCACTTACATACATCATGCACTTTCAGTTTAATATGGTAGTTCCACTACTATTTTCTCAGAATAATACAAAAGGGATAAGTTTTCATTATTTGGAAAAGCATAGCTTCATTCCTTTCAAAAGCAAAAATGATCCCGTGGTAGTTCAGTGTCCCACACAAACTTTCTCTTGAGTTTTACAAAACCTGTGGAGCATGGAGGTCTCAAGACAGGCTTATGGTCAGGGTCATTTCAGCAGCACTAGCAACAGGCCTACAATGCCTAAAGCCTGGTTGAGAAAGCTGGGGAAGTCTGTTCAAAATGAAAGGAGTGAACTCAATTATGTTACAGATTTTCTGATGCTGTTATATTTTTGCCCATGTGAATTGTGAATTTTATGCATTAAGGCTGTGTATTTTTTAATGTAAAAATTCATAACAGTGATGCACACCCACTAAAGCATGGTCTGCATGTGAAGGAATGTACTTGTGATCTAAATCCAGAGAATGGGGTATCTTATTAATTTATTTTCTTTGTATTTCTGGGTGCTAGGATCCCTGAAGAGAAGAAGGGGTGTGAATGAGGTACTCGTGCCAGTCAGGTGAAAGTTTTGTCAAGATTTTCCTGCAAGTGTAAATGTGAAGAGAATATAGTGGTCTTGCTCAGAGATGAACTTTAGTTTAAAAGGGCCTCAGACCTAGTAATTTAATAGTACTAAACTTCTTGGAAAGACTGGAGGATTAGAGGTCAGGGTATGGACTTGCCTTGGGGAAGGTGCCATGTATCTAAAGAATTCGTGCACCTTGGCTGAAGTTGTGTTTGTGTGTGTATAAGGAGGGAATGAGGTAGTAAGAATACATTGATTTAGTAAATGTTGGTTTGCAGATACTTGTACTCCTTTTCGACAAAGGTTTTCTGTCTGGTTTATTTTTTGCTGTTACATTTGTCATGAGCTAAATCCATATGTATCCATCACCCCTGGTTCCTGCTGGAAGCTGAGGGTCCTAGACAATCTCTGGTTTAGGGGAAAGAAATCCTCAGAAACATCTCAGTTGTTTCTATTTTCTTGTATACAAGTGGCTGTCAGTTTTAATCTCCTTCTGCCTGAAAGTGCTGATGTGGTTGTCAGGCAGGTAGTGAGCAGGAGGACATGAGAGGTTCACACTGCTCCAGCACCCAGTCAGCACTCATCTGAGATCTCTGACATGTGTGGCTAGAAGCCTAAGATACCTGTTGGGCTGTGGAAGCCACATGAGGTTGTGATTTAGGAACTGTTCTGAACAGCAGTACAGAACTGTTAGCTGTTACCTCCAAAAGCACGGTGATGCATTAGAGAACTACATCACTAAAACATGGACCCATTTCTTTCTTCTTTAGAGGTGCTCCATTCTGTTCCTCTTGCTGCTCTCAACTAGTAAATTGAGCAAATATGTAATTGTCCCACACATACAAACAAACAAAAATTCACTCGTTGAACATATGGTTCCCTAATATATTTTTTTTTTCCCCTCTGCATTACATACCTATACTGTGCGTCCAAAGACAGAGGACATACTAAAAGCCAAGTCAGGTATCTGGAGCTCTATCTAGATATGGAAACAAGGGAATTCAGAGCAAAGGTCAAACATATTTAATACCTTAATCTGAACACTTTAAAGGGTGTTGAAAATTTAGTTTCCTGTTCCATTTGATGTCTGGGAATATTTCTGAACAACTATAACAGAGGAGATTAAGGGGGGAGTTTCTTTTCCTTGCTGCCTTTTTGTTGTTGACGACCTGTCTTGTTTTGGGAAGAGCG